TGATAACAAACACTCATGCCAAGTTTCATCAAAATCCGTCAAGAATCGCGCCTTCTAGAGTGTTTACGAGCTAAAAATTAAACGAGTTTTCAAGAACAAGGACAATAACTCATACTAAATATTTTAGATTCTTCTGATTTTCAATAGGTGAGTGATTACGAACATTCACACTCAGTTTCATCAAAATCTATCAAGAATTGTGCCTTCTAGAGTGTTTACGAGCTAAAAATTTAACGCGTTTTCAAGAACAAGGGCAATAACTCATAATAAATATTTTTCGATTTCGATATAGGGTTCATCCTTAGGTGACAACAAACGCTCACACCAAGTTTCGTCAATATCTGTCAATAATTGAACCTTCTAGAGCGTTTACAAGCTAAGAATTGAACGCGTTTTCAAGAACAAGGGCAATAACTCATACTAAATATTGTTGATTTTTGTGATTTTCAATAGGGTTCATCCTTGGGTGATAACAAACACTAGCATGCAAACACCCTTCTTATCTGAAAGACACAGCCGATTTTGTTGAAAATATCAAGAAAGTGGACATTCCCGAAATCGCGTATTTCATTTCTTTGGACGTAACCAGTATGTATACCAACATTGACAACAATGTTGGTCTTGACGCCGTCCGTAAGGCATTTGTTCGATATCCATGTTCTGATCGACCTGATACAGAGATTTTAGATTTACTTGAACTATGTTTAACGCGCAATGACTTCTTTTTTAATGGAAAAATATATTTACAAACATCTGGAACTGCTATGGGCAAACGATTTGCCCCTAGTTATGCGAATATTTTTATGGCCGAGTGGGAGAGGGAGATAGAAAATATCTCACCGTTTAAACCTTTATTTTATGGGCGGTTTCTTGACGATATTTTTATCATTTGGTCCGATACTCTAGAACATTTCTGGGAATATTTCGAAATTTTAAACAACCACCACCCTTCTGTGAAATTGACAGCAAATATCAACGAAAACAGCATGGATTTTTTGGACACCACGGTGTTCAAAGGCAACAACTTTCTTTCTTCCAAAAAATTAGACATTAAAGTATTTTTTAAGGAAACTGATACCCACCAACTTTTATACAAAAGCTCGTTCCACACATTTTCTGGAATAATTAAATCTCAAATTCTAAGATTTCATAGAATTTGCACCCAACAGGCTGATTTTGAATCCGCTTGTAAACTAGTTTTTGACAAATTAAGGGAGAGGGGTTATTCCAAAAGGTTTCTTCGAAAAATTAAGAATGACACGCTTTCAGACATTTTGAGAAAAGAAGACCCACAAAACGTTTGGTTGTAGCTTACAAAAGAAATCAAAATCTTAGCAATTTCCTCTTTCACGGTAGACTTGAACCATTGAACAATGTCCATTCATCCTAGGAGCATAGATTTCTTAATATAAATGTATCATGTTCTATCAATGAATTAATCGATTTCTAAGTTAGATTTCAGAGAATACTTATTTCAGGACTGGTGCCATGGCTATATACAGTATATTATATAACATGCAGTGTATGTTTGTTTGTGTGTCTTTTCAACTAAAATCATACTAATGACTAACTAATTTTCACATAATTAATAGACTTATCTCATTACCAAATATTTTTCGATTTTTCTGATTTTCAATAGGGCTCATCCTTGGGTGATTACAAACAACCATACCAAGTTTTGTCAAAATCAGTCAAGAATCGTGCCTTGTAGAGTGTTTACGAGCAATTGTGGACGGACGGACATGGGTGACGACAATGTACGCCCCAGGCGTATAAAAAGAAACAAACAAGTTTATTGTACAAGGATAAAAAGGTTCCTTTTTTCATCTGAACTTTAGCCACACCTCTTGGCATTGATCTTTGCCGGATTATCTGTACCGATTTGCAGCTGGGTCGAATGGAATTGTAATGTACTTATTCAGAGTACCCATACTTTCACATGCTGACAGGGATCAGAACCAACGATCACGATCACTTGTGCGAAGTTTATGAAACAAATGACGTCTTGTAAAGAACACCCATATTTATGACAAAATTCGTACACCATCGTACTGAAGGAACATGCAGAAGCCCATCATTTCAACTCCATTATTACAGATAAACATCGCAATATCCACCTACTGTCGTGTTTGTCTAGAATGGCTTCGAGACACATTGTGAAACAATTATTGCGATTTGGATACACCATGACAATACAAATATTATGACTAACTGGCAGTGTTTCACGACCTACTTTTCAACCAGGTTCAACTTAATAAGTATCCAGCCTCCAGAGGAGAGGGATTTGAGTCATGTAGAGTGGTCAATTGATTGAATGAAGTGAATATTCATGACGTCCAGGTTAATTGTCTTTAATGGACAATATAGGCTATATGATGCCCCCCCCCCCCCCCCCTCCCACCCATCCCTGAAAAAAAAGTAGGGGAAGGGAATGTCTTAACTTGAAAATTCAACATACTAACTTGAAAATTTTTTTGGAATAGGTTCCGTTTGATCCATGCCTTGCATAAACTGACCCCTACGTGACCTTGCATGAACCCAAGGGACATATTATGTCCTAAACCGCGACTTTTAAGGTGTCGAAGTCCTATTCGTAACCTCGAACGAAAAGTCAATGACGCAAATTGTGGGAGTCAAACAAAACAGACGAGAAAACAAAAACATTGAGTGAATAACCTGAAAGCAGCTGAATTTGTGAAGTGACTAATTATAAACACGTCTTTTCAGCCTTGCAGCATGGTAAATATGTGACTAACCCGGCCAGCTTACGTCAATCTCGAGAAATAATTTGTCATTGACCGTAAGAAATCATGAATGACAGTTTTCTTGCGAAATAAAAGGAAAAAAAATGATGAAAAACTGCATGAAAAGCCTCAAGGAGCCATTTTCCCTCGACCACCATTGTTGTTATGACGTCATATAGCAACGAAAGGAGTCGTTATGAATGGAAGCGAGAAATTATTATAGCTTCTGGCAGTAGGTTGGAATTTAAATGGCTTTGAAGTGAAAAACATAAACATCGTGCACTATATCATTAAAATTATAACAGCATCAAAATGGAATGAACTATCTGTAGGTTTTATAGCCTAGATCTTAAGTTCTATGGCTAGGCTATTAGGCTAGCCTAATGCTGATTTGAAAAAAGTCTCAGCCCATTTGGTCTTATCTTCACAATGTTATTATTAGGCTACTAAATAATAAGCATAGAGGCCTAATCTTCACAATGTCAAGTTATTATGCTACGGTCTATGGCTCGGCGTAATAGGCTACCTTGATTGCAATATCCGTAGCCTACCTTTCTTGATAGCCTACAGAAATTTGAAAATGCAGCAATTCGATTGGATTGCAGGTCTAGGTTGGCGAATAGGCCTAAGCCAATCAAAAGCCCTCGACAGATATAGTCTATGATAGGCCTTAAGTGCTTAGGCCTAATCGAGGACTGTTCATGGCTATATTCGGTTGCGTACAATTCAAACAATTCGCTGCATTTAAAACTTCCGTGATACAACACAGGTGGCTGATTAAGCAACAGTCAAGGTATTAGACGAATTTTAGCTTGACATTATGACTTTAAAGATGTTAGCCTACAGGCCTAGGCCTAGCCTAGCAGCTGTGCCTAGACCAACTCTGTAGAGAAAGCATTGTCTTTTGGATAATTTGCTGTACCGGTACCTTTTGTTTCTTCGTTTCATACATATGGAGAGATTCGCTTGACTTTGTCAATGGTAGGCCCTTTGCAACGAATCCCTTTTATTTGTAGGCCTACAGGGATGCCATCCGCAATGGATATTGGGCACAGACACTTATCTTGAGGTCTGATTGAAGTCAGAGAAAATCCACGCTAATTTTTTGGCTGACATCTTGACTATCTTACCTGACACCAAGGCTGACATCTTGGCTGATATCTAGGCTGACAGGTCTAGGCTGACATCTTATCTGATATACAGACTGGCGTTTCTAGGCTGACATCTTAGCTGATATCTAGGCGGTTTCCATGACGACATCTTAGTTGATATCTAGGCTGACATCTAGACTGACATTAGGCTGACGTCTTTGCAGATATGTAGGCATATCGGCTGACCACAGGGTTGTTATCTTGGCTTACATCTTACCAGACATCTTGGCTGATATCTAGGCTGACATATCTTGGCGGTTTCCAAGACGACATCTTAGTTGATATCTAGGCTGACATCTAAAATGACATTAGGCTGACGTCTTGGCAGATGTGTAGGCATTTCGGCTGACCACAAGGTTGTTATCTTGGCTTACATCTTACCTGACATCTTGGCTTATATCTAGGCTGACATATCTTGGCTGGCATATTAACTGATATACAGACTGACATGTGTAGGCTGACATCTTATCTGATATCTAGGCTGATATGCAAGACGACAGGTTGGTTATTGACACCTAGGCTGACATCTATGCTTGAATCTTGGCTGACATCTAGGCAGATATATATATTTCTAGGCTGACATCTAGACTGACTTTAGGCTGACGCCTTGGCTGATATGTAGGCTGATATATCGGCTGACCACAAGGTTGTTATCTAAGCTTACATCTTGGCTGATATCTAGGCTGATACCTAGACTGACATTAGGCTTACATCTTGGCTGATTTCTAGGCTGACATCTTGCCTAACATCTAGGCTGACATATTGACTGGCATGTAGGCTGATATCGTGGCTGACATCTAGGCTGATATAGGACACCTGACAGAGAGAGAAAGAGAGAGATTACGTTTAGTGTTTTTGTCGGTGGGTTTCTTACAACACTCGTCATCAAATGCAGTCACCCAAAGATGTAGCGCGCATCGAAAAATCTAGACCTACATACAAAAAAAGTTGAATATGAATCAATTTTCGATCTCTGTTTCCATTCAATCGCAATATTAGTCGTAATAAACAACGAGGGTGATGCGAAAGGTTCCTGGATATTATTTAGTTAGTAAAGGGGGATAACTATACCGTTACGATCGGACCACAGTCATTTAATGAATGAATCTAAACGGATTGACGGTTTGGTTTTTTTGTTTTAAAAATTTGAAATGGAAGTTCCACTGTCTACTTTCCATTGCCTAATTGCTGAATTACCTCATGCAGTGTGCAATGGGGTAGTATCAGAGAGTACTCTCTGGTAGTATCAAAGCCTACTCTTTTTTTCTATTAATTTGCAACTCTGTCGGGAGACATTTTCGTGATAAATTTTTGAAGTGAAGAAACCAAGTAAAGAAATATTCTCTCGAAATTTAACATTAACATTAAATTCAAGTGACCAAGAAAGGAAATATTCTCTCGAAATTTAAAATTGATCTTACTAGGCCTTTCTTAATGGCTCTGTCATTGTTAACAAGGCAAGGTTTATGTGGAATTGTCGCCATTTCTTCAAGTAAAGTATATATGAAGGAATTCAAACCCCAATCAAAATGATGAAGTTTTCAAAATTGTTTGTGTGATTGTCAAAACAAGGGTGGCGTAGTGTTTTGAGATGAGTTCAATCACAAATCAGGTAAAATGCACGAGTTTTACATTTGTGTCATGCTGAATAATGTTGACATTCCAAACTGTCAAATCATAGCGTATGAATATCTTATTGGGACTTTAACATTAAAAAAGATATAAATTGTCAATTGATAAAATTATAAATTTTGACAGAAAAGTTAAGTTAATGCACTAAAAAGACTTGGGAATATTCACTTTTATCATGATTTGAAATTTTAAAAATTCAACACGAACTATTTTCTTACGAGTACGTGTTGGTATTTTTCAGTAAATTGGTCAACAGGTGCCCTTCCTTACGCATGCGTAGTCTGATGCAACGCCATTTTGGATTTTGAATCGGAGGACGGAGTTGTTGTAGACAAAAGATATTTTAGAAGCTGGAAGAGTTTTTTTCGTGGATGAAAGTGGTCTTCAAGGCCTACTTTTCGGTCAGTATATTTATAAATAACTTTTTTAGCATTTTAGTCAAATTTGCCTATGCCGAACGCGACCTAAACTTTGCATGTTTTGATATTTTTTGTTGTTTTGGCTTCACTGCTTGTTGAGCCGGGGGATATCGGTGTTCAAAATGGATTCCGATGAAGTTTTTGGAGATTGTGAGCTTCGGATCTTTTAAAAAAAAATATTTTTAACTGTCAAGAGATTCAATATTCAGCATTAATCATCGCAGGGTTTGAAATCGCGATAATTTCCATTAAGGTAGGCTATATCAGACGCTGATGAGTCGGTTCGTTACAATGTAGGTTGTTTCACACTTGACTCTGAAGATTAATTAGGTCATTTTCTCTAGAAAAGGACCTTAAGTGTAAACAAAGGTTTTTGTATTGGATTAATTTATATTTTTTTAGCACCTTGACTACTGTAGGGCATCAATGTAAGGGTTTAAATTTGAACTAACTTTATTGTGTAATCTGAAATGTTTTCCTTAGAGTACCGGTGCATACTTTTTAATTTTATACCTGTTTTGTATTGATGTCTGAAATAAGGAATTAAAATATGAGGCATATAGACTATGTCGGACCTGCCTATTATAAAAGTTTTTTGAACTTATTGTTGAGGAGAATTGGAATGTTAGCCTCAACATAGTAAATGTTTACTTTACATTGAAAAGAAACACATTTCTCCCCTAGAAGTTTCAACCCAAAAAAGTCACAAATTTTGCCATCAAATTATCCTCTGTAAAAACAAATTTTGAAGACATAATGTGTGTTCATTTTTATATTTTCATCAATGCAAAGACATTCTAAGACTTACAGTACTAGTATCCATTTCCTTTATTTTTTTCGTTCCTCACAGGGATCCCTGATTTTGGTCCTACTCTGTTCAACTAAGAGACAAGCCACAACTCCCCATAGGCCTTCTATCTGATAAGTAGTATTTAAACAATTCTCAAAATGATTGGCAAAAATCAGAAGACAGTTATTGCCCATGGAATGACCAATGTGGTATGTAAAGAATGCTGTCTTAGACCCTAAGTGAAGTGGCTATATTAAAAATAAAAGCTAATAAAAACAGAATGAAAGTTTGTGATTTTTGTAAGAACACAGAGCCTCGTTTTGTCTCATCTGTAGGATTAGATGCTTTTTTAGTGTCAGTCCCTTCAGCCTGCATCACTGACAAAGGGAACCAGGATTGAAAAGTTGAATGAGATAATAAGAACAATTAATTGATTTATATTGGTGAAATGTCATGCCATGATAATTTGAGCAGATACATCTGATTTGAGGGCTAAAGATGGTACTACATGAACCTTGGATGAGTGTGGCACATGCCAGTGTTAACTTGGGTAAGTCTATGTCAAGAGATAGAGAAGGGGTGTTAGTTAGGGCTAGTCTATTATTGTCAATATGACATGTGTCAGTGTCTAAAGAATGAATAGGTATCAATATTTATTGCCCCCATCACTGTTATTAGGCCAAGTTTATTTTATTAGTGGCTTTTTCAGTTTGTCAAAAATTACTAGACATTGGGACTTCTGAGCTAGAGTTGATATTTCACACTTTTTTTCTAATTTGTGAGCAACTTAAGAACTGAAATTTACATTTTATCAGTGGCCGCAATTGTCTACAATAAAGACATGTTTTTGATTTCCTTAAAATGTATTCAATACTAAATAAAAAAAAAAGTAAATTGATAATTATGCATTGACATTTTATTCAAAGCATGAACACCAAGGTTGAAGGTGTTAAAATTACCAGAACAATAATCAAGGACTTACATTAACATTGATTCTCACAGATCAGTATTTTTAGCTCAAATGATACCACAAGCTTTCAAAGCTCCAACATTGTTAATGGGCTAGAAAATTCTCCAGTTGTTAACGATGGGACAATGAACCAAAATCCGCTTATCAAAGACTTTTTGCCTCAATCCTCTTTGAGTTTTCTTTGAATGTCAAATGTGTATGGCTAGAAACCTTTTTGCTTCAGCAGTGCATGTAGAGTTGATAGATTTCAATTCAGCTAACTATCACTTTTTATAAGTAGCTAATCCTGTCTGCAATTTTTATGAAAGAGGAACTACTATCGTTAAAGTGTATGGAAAGTCAATTATGGGCCACTTGACACCTACCGTGAATGTTTCTATATATCCTATTGTATCCAATTCCAATCTTATAATCGATAATTAAGATACATGTATAAGTAAAACAAAGACGATTTGTGTTTAATTCCCGTTTGTTTCCAAAAACAGTCCGCCATTGCGTCGTATTAATCACATGACCACATGACGTCATTTTTGGAACCATCGTTAACCTCATAACCTTGATAGGCTACGTTAATATTTACATCAAAATGCCGAAGTGCGGTGTCGCGCAATTTTGCAGCTTTACCTGTAAAGAAAACAGTTAACACAGCTTTCCAAAAGACCCCGTATGGGTCAAATTCGTACAACTGAAAAGGGCTGACTTCAAGGCGCTGACTGATAACTCTCAGTCTGTTATTTATTTCACTTCAACTCTTTATTTTTATAGAAAATATTCTAAATTGGAAAGCTGACATAGCCAGAAAAGTGTTTTAAAATTCGATTCGCATATGAGACCACATTAGAAATATATTATAGGTTCATAGTTTTAATTAATACTAAAAAAATCGGCATTTAAACTTAGCCAAAAAGGTGAAATATCAATTTTCCAGCATAAAACGGTGGTAATGGCGGCTATTTCTGAACACCTTTGAAGCGTAACAAAAGCGAAAAACTATCATTTCTTAATTTAAAGTATATTTTGAGCGGGTAGTTTCATATTATTTTAATTATTTGATCAGAAGGTCTACTTTCGCTTTATCATTAATTGGTAGGCCTATCCGATGTGTGTGTTTTACCAATTCAGATTTGGGAATGTAGGAACTCGTGATGTTATGAAAATTACCTATTGTCTTTAAAATAAATTATAATTAAGTTACATGTATTATATAATAGTTGTAATCTTATAACGACTTGTTCCGTATATCACTTATAAAATGAGTGTGAAGAAATCATACAAATAACGACCATATTTCTCCACTATTACCCCATTCATCATGGAATATCTCAAAGACTAATTAAGATATTTTAATTCTGTAAAGGTTTTCATCGAGAGAAGATATGAATATTTTGAAGCGGGCGATTTTTAATACAAAAAGAACGCTACGAACCAGTCATTATAAATTTATTTCCCAATCGATCTCCATTTTCATGATTTCGGCAGTGTCATCGTCCTGGTTTGGCCTTTCACTGTCAGTCACCCCTTCCCGAGGACGCCTAACTGGCTCAAACGGGTAGCCCACCACACCCCCAAACATTTCGTATTCATCTTCTTCGTCTTCAGAATGAGATGAACTGTGAGTGCTTGACGAATCGTTTTCATTATAATACATAACGCCCGCCACATTGTTTATCTGTCAGTGTAGCGTTCCCAGAAACCACCGCGTCAAGTCCATAATTTACGTCACGCATACATTAGCCTACATTCGGATATTTCCGGAACATGCTTGTGGTTTTCCGTACAAATCATCGATTTTCCATCAAAATATCACTTTTTCACCCTCACGAATTTTTTTCCCGCGAAAAGGATAGTGGCATTCAATTCAATCATTAATTATTTATCAAATGCAAAAGTACACCATATTAAGACTTTCCATACTCTTTAAGGATATGAAAGTCTGTGAACATCTCAACCATGTTAATTATAGATAAAGCTTGAGGGTGGTCACCTGAAGGATTAAATAGGCATTATTATTAACACTTTCTTGCATAAGTTGCAAATTAAAGCCAATTGGCACCTGTATTTGCTGTATTTGAGAGGTGAAATTTTTAATTATATAGGCATTACTCTCAAAAACAATTTTTTTTTATTGCTCAGATAAGGAAAATAGGATCAGATTTCTTCACCAATAATGATATGTCCAATGTATCCACTAATAACTGACAAAACGAAAATGTGCTTGCAATTAAGTGCAAAGGGGTTAAAATCCTTGCTAATGCCAAGCCACATCTCCTCGAAGAGGTTAACAACTTTCAAACTGTGAACATCAATACTTTCCTCTTATGGGATAGCTCAGTCGGTAGAAAGTTAGATTTTCGTCTGCTAGGCAATTATGTAGGTTTGAATTCTCAAAGACATATTCTGATGCCTGTGCCACACGGAAGCTCAGTGTCAGCTCATCACTAATACATCGCTGGGTTTTTACCTTTGGTATTTTAATGAAACTTTGACAAACCACCTAAACATATAGTGAACAATTGAACTAAAGTGAACATTGTTGTGGTGTGATCTATTTTTAGAATATGATTGATTTATAGGGATAATATTTAACATTACAACATTGTAACTGGTACACATTGTTTATACAACATGTACCTAGTATTTCACATTAAAATATTGACAATGTCTGGTATGGGTTAATCACTTAAAAGTTTTCTTGTTGGACCCTGTGATACAGTTTGCATTGCAGTTCATATATTTCAGTAGTGTATCAATGTGAAGGACATTGTTTCTGAAAGAAATATGTAAAAAAAAAAAAATTTGTATGGTAAAAATAGCAACTTGTAAAGTTTAATGACTTTCTCTGTTGGTTTCCATTTTGCTTGACAGTCATTTCTAGGGGATTAGAAGTTGTGTCAACATAAGGATGTCAAAGTACATTAAGCCTGTCAACAATGTCAATGCTAGTTGCTCTCTTCTATTGACTGAACCTGACATCAACTGTAAAGACAATGACTACGAAAAGCAAGGCAAGTGCCTAAAACAATAGCATTTACCAGCTCCCTGATGTTTTGAGGGAAATTCATTCTCATAGATGGTCAAAAACAGTTATCAAAGTACAATAGTATTTGACAATAGTATCAAATTAGGCAAATGTTAAGACAAAAGTATAAGTGGAATGTTATGCCATTTGAAAAAAAACCATTGAAGACTTTTCCAAGTCGTTTTTCTTGTCCATAGATTCAC